CGCAATTGATTGGAAATTGTTTTTTGTGAACAATTTAAAGTTGTCGCAAGCTCTTGTTGGGTAATTTGAGGATTTTGCACCAAAAGAGCTCGAAGAGCTTCTTGATCAAAATTGGACACACGGCCTCGACCACTCTTGTCATCTAACGAAAAATTTCCCTCGCGAAATTTCTCAAACCAACACTGGCATTTTCTGGCGCTAACTGCATCTTGACCAAGAGCTCTACAGATGTATTTTGCAGCCTCACTTGCTTTTCTTCCTAATTGGAACTCGTAAAGCATGCAGTGCAGAATATGCTCTTCATCCGCCATCTTCTTAGCCGTAGTTTTGCAACAAAAACCAAACCAAACACAAACTTTTTCAAGCAAAACTTGTTAATTGCACTTCACACGTTCTGTAGATACCACGTGTTGGAAGGTTATGTCAATACAAGTCAACGCCAAGCAAGATTTTAAACAAATGTTAAAAACGACATTAATTATTACTAGACCCGATACTAGCTGAAACTATGGAAAAACTCTTCTGAGCAGGTTCCTTATTTCAGAAACAAGGTTGGTTATGGCTATAAATGCAGAATAATTTTCTATATGAAAGAGCATTATAAAATAAGAATAAATGTAACTATTCAGTGATAAGTGAAATGTATTTACCTTATAAATTAATGTGCTGATTAACTTGGTCTCAAAAATATATCCCAGTGGAATCCAGTTAAGAAATCTGAGCAATGTTTCCAATGTTGCATGTACAAGTGGAGCATTTTGGGAATTTTCCTGCAATGAAAACAAACCTATATAAAAATTATCTTCTTCTATAATTGTTATTTTAAAAGTAATAAAAATGAAAGCACTTACCATTACAAACTGACACAGCTGAAAGATTTGTGAGAACTCATTGCACATGCTAAAAATAAAAAGTGATTGGTTTAGAAGACAAATAAAAATACTGTAGTTACATACTAACAAATATTACATATTCCAACCTACTCATTAAAAACTTGAATTACTCTCATTTAAACATATACACCAACTTCATCAAAAGCTACAAAGTTACTTGATTTTTTAAATTCTTACTCTATTTAATATTATTTGAATATTATTTGTTTTTTTTCTTCTTTTTCTAAATATATGTTGTTGATTTTTTACAGAGAGGAAGGGAGAGAGACAGAAACATTGATGAGAGAGAAACATCTATCAGGTGCCTCTTGCACACACACACAACCCCCCCCCCCACACACACACTGGGGATGTGCCTGCAACCAAGGAACATGCTCTTGACCGGAATCAAACCTGGGACCCTTGAGTCCGCAGGCCAACGCTCTATCCACTGAGCCAAACAAGTTAGGGCTAACTGCAGGTTTTTATGTCTTCTTATCTGGTGGATATTGACCCAGATTTCCCCCAAACTAAACCAAACCAGTTTCGGCTCTGTTTAATACTAATCAGTCTAGCTTTTGATATCAAGTTAGTTAAAACCCAACCAACCAACCCACACAACCCACCCAGCCACCCACAAGACTCCAAATCAGGCGTCTTCAAACTACGGCCCGCAGGCCACATGCGGCCCACCAGGTTTTTTGGGCAGTGAGCGCAGCCGAGGTGTTACAGTAGGAATTAGTAGTTCATATAGTCCGGCCCTCCAGCTCTCTGAGGGACCGTGATCTGGCCCCCACTTTAAAAAGTTTGAGGACCCCTGCTCCAAATTATCCCGGCTGGTATAGCTCATGCATAAAGGTCACCCGTTTTGATTCCAGGTCAGGTCACACACCCAGGTTGCTGTCTTGATGCCCAGAAGGAGGAGCACAGGAGGCAGCTGATCAATGTTGATATTTCTCTCTCTCCCTTCACCTTCCTTTCTTTCTAAAAAATCTATAAAAACACTTAAAAAAAATGAAATAAAAAAAAATAACAACTCTCCAAAATACGTGAAGTGGCATTATATACAGGGTTGGACAAAAGTAGCTTTGCAGATGTGAGTACATGAAACAGTTTATTCTTGCATGATTTATTAATGTATTTTGTTCCATAGGAACAAATTGTAAACCTACTTTTGTCATATCCTGTATATGCCAAATACACCAAATCAGAAGAAATATTCTAAATCCTGAAGCTAGTTTGACCACATAAAGGAATATGAAAGTAATATACTTCTGTGTACTAATGACTTCAACAAGTTTTTAATAACAACAACAAAAATAAATTCTAGCATGATCCTAGTATTAACAGTAGGAAATCAAAAAGATACAAGACTAGTAAAAATTCAGCTGGCGTTCGGACACAAGTAATTTTCCTTGGAAGCCATTAAGTAGTCACATATAAAACATATCCCAAAGAGAACTCTCAACCTATAATCCTTTCCCATATGACTTTTTTTTTTTTTTTTGCTGTGACAAAACATCTTTAACACCACATGTACTTTTTAAGCCTCCAGATTTAGGAAACTAGGCAGATTGTAAGACTATTTAAATTTGCAATGAAAAACAATTTAAATTAATTTATCACTTTAACATTCACAATTTTTAAAAAACTTATAGCCTGCCTCCAAATTCCTCTTAATAGTTTGAGAAATTACTTAAGCTTTCAAAACAGAATACTCACCTGTCCTTTAAATGCTTAGCTTTTACTTGGGTTATCTGTCCACTAGAGAAATCAAATACTTCTTCACTCAAGAGTTTAAGAATCACCATATTATTCTGACAGAGACTTTCACTGGTCCTACTTGCTCCAACAATGTCACTGATAAAAGTTGGCCAGTGTTTGGGCCATTCCTGTTTCAGTATCTAAAATAAGAAAATGTTAATTTCATTTCACTTGTCAATGGCAAAACTTCAAAGAAACTGTGTCATATTAAAAGGAGCAAATATCAAACCACTTTCCATTTTCTACTGCTTTATTCAAAGAGGAAATGTGCCACCATCCACAAAACAGATAAAGCCCTCTGTCTCAAATGCCCTACAACTACACTGTTATCCCAACTGGTCTAATCTGGCTATAATGTGTATGCATGTAATATCTGCCAGATAGGCATATGCAAAGTATTCCCAGGAGACTCTTTTAAGCAATTAAAAAGGTGATGGGCAAGGAAACACTTTTTGGCTGAAATCTGGCCCTTGAAATATAGTAGAGTTTGGACAGATAAATTAAATAGAAGAAAGGAGGCATTACAATTGGGGATAGAATAATTTTTTGACCAATAATCAACTATGTCGATTTTTAAATCTGTACTCTATATACTGTACACTAGGGATATTTTTGAAGCAGAAATTCTGTAAGAGCACCTGTGAATAAGAAGTTAGTAACTACCTTCTTTGCACTCCTTCCTCTCCCCAATTCAAAAATAGGTTACCAACAAAGTCTTTAATATAAAAGCCAGTAAAACATTTGACTTTGTTTTAAAAATCATTTAAGTTCCGAAAACTTATTATAGAGAAAATTTTATTTTTTCCTTACACACCAATTAATCTCAAAAACTTTTTGACATATTAAAAACAGGTAAGTTAAAATTTCTAAAGTTAGACTATACAGAAAATTAAAAAAACGTTCTAAGAGATTAAAGGAATACTGTATTAAAAAACAATTAAAACAGATAACATGGAAACACAGAGTACCAAGCATAAATGATAAAATAGAGTCCAATCCATATTGGAGCCATAAAGTGATGTTTTCAATTTTACAATTTCAAATGCTACATAGTAGGTTAACTATTAGAGTTATCATAAAAACTACAATGGCCCTAGCCAGTTTGTTTGAAGGGTCCCAGGTTCAATTCTGGTCAAGGGCACATGTTCGGGTTGCCAGGCTTAGTCCCAGTAGGGCATGAGCAGGCAGCTCATCAATGATTCTCTCTCATCATTCATGTTTCTAACTCTCCCTCTCCCTTTCTCTAAGAAATCAATCTCCCTTTCTCTCAGAAATCTATCTATCTATCTATCTATCTATCTATCTATCTATCTATCAATCCATCCATCTATCTAAAAAACCCTACTATCACTACTTCTCCAAGTTGTTAGTTTATTCAATAAAGTGTGTTCAAATATTTTGTTCAAGTAATCAGCCTAACTGAAAGATTGAACTCTTTTAAGGAAAACAGTGAAATCTTACCTGAACAAGAATCATATTCAATTTCCCGATATATACTTTTTCCTTCTACGAAAAGAGAAACATTTAGATTAAATAAGAGCCTAAAATAGGTATTGTTAAGAACAAAAGCATAAGAAACCTCAGAGAGAAAAATAATTGCATATTCATTAAAAATGACTGTTTATATGTGTTTATAGCTCTGTGATAGTGATAGAAAGGTTTAAATTGAAGATTCAATATTTAAGTGCTTTTACATTTTTCACAATAATCTTCAAAAAATCTCTTACCTCTACACAAGTTGGATCAGATGAGGTCTTGATAATAAGGCCAACAACATATTTTTTTATTCCTATGGGAAAAATTTTTATAAATCAATATTTTTATAGCATATTAAGAAATACTCAGAAACAAAAAATTTGGGGTGTGAAGAGGGCAGAGTACAGTCAGATAATATGCCTAATCCCATCACCAATGTTGGTTTTTGTGGAAAAATTTAATATACTACTTTATACTGTTTTAAAAAAAATTTTTTTTAATTGACTTTAGATAGAATGCAAGGGAGAGGGAGAGAAACATTGATTGGAAACCTGGGCATGTGCCCTGACGGGGAATTGTGGGAAACCCTGTGGTGCATAGCATAGTGCTCAACCAACTGAGCCACATCAGCCGGGGCTTTAGCGCACTACTTTATTTTATTTTTTTTAAAATACATTTTATTGATTTTTTTTTTTTTTTTTTACAGAGAGGAAGAGAGAGGGATAGAGTTAGAAACATCGATCAGCTTCCTCTTGCACACCCCCTACTGGAGATGTGCTCACAACCAAAGTACATACCCTTGACCAGAATCGAACCTGGGACCTTTTAGTCCGCAGGCCGACGCTCTATCCACTGAGCCAAACTGGTTAGACTACTTTATTTTTATTTTTAAATATGGAACGCTTCACGAATCTGCGTGTCATCCTTGCACAGGGACCATGCTATCTTCTCTGTGTCGTTCCGATTTTAGTATATGTGCTGCCGAAGCAAGCACTGTAGCGTACTGCTTTAAATGTTTAGGTTATGTTCTTATCCTTTACAAAATCTAGGTGGAACAGCCGGGACCGGTTTGGCTCAGTGGATAGAGCGTTGGCCTGGGGACTGAAAGGTCCCGGGGACGATTCTGGGCAAGGGCATTTACCTTGGTTGCGGGCACATCCCCAGAGGGGGATGTGCAGGAGTCAGCTGATCGATGATTCTCTCTCATCGATGTTTCTGACTCTCTATCCCTCTCTTCCTCTCTGTGGAAAATCAATAAAAAAAAATCTAGGTGGAACAATTACACATTACTATCCTCTAAGACTGCACTCGCCAATAGGTGGACCGAGAGGTCTGAAAGGTTGGCAACAATTGTTCTAATCTAAGATAATCTTTGAATGCTCTACCAATTAAATATAGCAATATAGTAATTTTGAGAAAAACAAAAATAAAAACAATACCGCCAGGGACTAATGTGCTCTTCACTTAAATAAACACACACATCAACTTATTTTTGTGGGTCAAAACTGCAAAAACCTTAAAGATGTTACTTTATAATAAACATTATAAAGTTTTATGTAAAAAACTTATAAATCAAGGTCAGATATATTTAACCTTTACCAATTTTACTTATAACATTAAGCTAAAGCTACAAGTTTTTTTTTTTTAATCTACTGATTGCTTTTAGAAATAGAGAATCATCAATTTGTTACCGCTTATTTTCACATTCATTGCTTGATTCTTGTATGTGCCCTGACCAGGGACTGAACTTGGGTGTATCCAGTTGATGCTCTAACCAACTGAGCTCTACCTGGCTACACCATGGAAATTTGATTCTAAAAATTCCCCCACTATAATATAGGAAAAAAAGAAGGAAATACTTTTAGGTTGCAATGTTCTTTGCCTAAGAACCCCTTAATAATACAGCTTATTCTTCAAACAGTTTAATAAGACTCCATAACTTTGCTTTTAATTTACATCATTCAGAGTTTACAAAGCATATACTCTAGGTCCCCTTAAAGTTTAAAGTAAGTCCAGCTGGTGTGGCTCAGTGGTTGAGTGTCGATCTATGAACCAGGAGGCCAGTGTGATACTGGTCAGGGCACATGCCTGGGTTGCAGGCTCAATCCCTAGTGGGGAACAGGCAGGAAATAGCCTATCAATGATTCACTCTCACCATTCAGTTTCTATCGCTCTCCTTTTCCCTCCCTCTCTAAAATCAATTAAAAAAATATTTTTGGAGTAATGTGATGTACTAACATTTACATGCCCAAAGGGTCTGAAGCAAGATCTCTAATAGAATAAATTTTTATTTCTCACTACATAAAGACTGCTCTCACATCTGTTTAACTTAGGTTTTGCTGCCAAATGTTTGATAAAGATTTTCAATTTTCAGAGCTGCCTGAACTTTGCAACTACAGATAAGACTTTCTAAAACTGTGTCCTAACCCACATCTACCAAATCAGAACACCCTTTAAGAACGGATCTGCTGGCCAGAGCCAAGATTGGTTCAGTAGATAAAGCATCAGTAAGGGGCATGCAGTAGACAGCCAATCAATAATTCTCTCATCATTGATGGTTTTTTACCTCTCCCATTTCCATCCTCTCTAAAATCAATAAAAAGTTCCACATTAAGCAAAAGACAATACAGACTGTTGCAGACAAGACCCACCAATGTGCTGAAATGAATGGGCAAGTCATCAGGAGAAACTGGATATCTGCATGGTGTGAAATTCTCTCTCCAAAATACTTATCTCTTTCAATATGAAAAATAATAATTTTGTAAACAAAAAACCAGCAGGCACCATAACCATTGATAAAGGTTAATACAGTGAACAATTAAACATCTTGACATTATGTAGTCCCTGGTTATGTGGTATTCTTGCTTAAAGAAATATGTACCACAGCCTAATCGTATTAAGAACAAACCTAAACTAAATTATACTATACAAAATAATGGACCAGAACTCCTGTCAAAATCATAGAATCAGGAATTAAGAATTGTCACAGATTGGAAGACTGAAGAGATACAACTAAATGAATTATATAGAACAGAGAAAGGACATTAGAGAAAAAGCTTATGAAATGTGAATCAAGGTCCACAGTTCAGTTAATAATACTGAACCACATGTTTAATTTCTTGTTTGTTCATTTTATTATTGTTCATAAGTTGTTAGTATCAGCACAATCTACTTTTCTGGGCAACAATTCTATAGTCTAAAATTACTTCAAAGTATTAAGAGGCTTTGTGGACACAAAGTAAAATCAAGTTTAGTTTTAGTAAGGTGATTACTTATTTTTTAAAATATATTTTATTATTTTTAAAAAATTATATTATTGATATTTTACAGGAGGAAGGGATTGGGACAGAGAACTGCCTCCTGCCCCCCCCCCCCCCCCCCGGGGATGTACCTGCAACCAAGGCATATGTTCTTGACCCTTCAGTCCACAGGCTGACGCTCAGTCAGGGCAATAAGGTGATTTTTAAAATATAACAATTAGGGGAGCCAAATTATTTTTTTTAATGAGTATTAAATTATACCACACAATAATCACATGTGCACATTACCAGTTAACCCTAATAAAAAACAATTCTGGTATCACTATCATTAAATAAAAATAAAATAAAAAGTCAGTAGTACTTGGTCAGAAAGGTGATTATTTAAAATTTAGTCTTGAAGAGAAAAGTACTGACTATGGTAAAGTGATATTAAATTGAGACTTGATTGTTTATGAGAATCTTCCAGTTACTGACTACTTATATTGCTTTTTTCCTATTTTCATCTTTCACCCTTTGTTCCATCTACAGTGTGTTTTAGAAGCCTCTGAAAAGAGGGTCAAGAGAAGTGGAAGGCTGTCTGATTCTGTTTTATATTGTTTTAGAAAAGCCTCCAAATCTTAAATATTCTGACTAGAGGCAACAGTAGCAGTTTTGGACATTGTCTTGTTCTTTGTAACATAATTAGAAGAAAAAGTAGTGAATCTTTTTTTTTTTTTTTTTTTTTTTTTTTTTAGTATAGAGAGAGAGGAAGAGAAACATCAATTTGTTGTCCCACTTATTTATGCATTAATTGGTAATTTTTTTATGTGCCCTGACTAGGGATAAAATTCCCAAGCTTGACATATCAGGTTGATACTCAATCCCGTGGTCAGCAAACTCATTAGTCAACAGAGCCAAATTGTTTAAACTGAAACTTCTAATACCACTTCGTCAAAATAGAATTGCCCAGGCTGTGGTATTTTTTGGAAGAGCCACGCTCAAGGTGCCAAAGAGCTGCATGTGGCTCGCGAGCTGCAGTTTGCCGACCACGGCTCTAACCAACCGAGCTACCTGGCAGATTCCTGAATTTCTTACATTATATTGTCGGTCCTTTAAGATCCACCCAAAATAAGGAAATGGGGCGCTATTAAAAAAAAATTTTTTTAAAGTAAGCATTCCTCTGAAACATCTTAATCCAAGTTTAAAAATAGAAATAAGTATTGCTGTTAATCCTTATCCAAGGAGATATTCCCACTGATTTTTAAGAGTGGGAGGGAGGCCTAAACTGGTTTGGCTCAGTGGATAGAGCGTCGGCCTGCGGACTGAATTGTCCCAGGTTCGATTCCAGTCAAGAGCAAGTACCTTGGTTGTGGGCACATCCCCAGTAGGGGGTGTGCAAGAGGCAGCTGATCGATGATTCTCTCTCATCAATGTTTCTAACTCTCTATCCCTCTCTCTTCCTCTCTGTAAAAAAAAAATCAATAAAATATGTTTTTAAAAATAAATAAAATAAAATAAAAGAGTGGGAGGGAAGGAAGTAAAGATTGATGTGAGAGAGACTTCTGTACTATCACCAAGCTGCTTTTCAAAAAAAAAAAAATTTGAAGAGGGCTGGAGATTGAACTTATAATTGAGGTATGTGCCTTACTGGGAATTGCATCAAAGTCCATTTGGTGCACAGGACAACACTCTTAACCATTGAGAATCACTGGCCAGGGTAACCTGCTCTTTGATTAAAGTCCAACCAGAATCTCCAATTGCTAGATACCAGACCTTATTTGGTCAAGAACCTTACCTCCTTCCCCTAAGTCCTTCCTAGAGTTTTCTCAAAAACTTTTGTAAAGCAGTCCTAGCTGGTTTGGCTCAGTGGGGTCCCAGGTTGCATGCTCAATCCCCAATAAGGGATGTCTCAGGAGGCAGTCTATCAATGATTCTCTAACCACTGATGTTTCTCTCTTGCTCAAATCAATAAAAATACGTTAAAAAAAAATTTTTTTTTTGAAAAACAGCTCAGCCCTAGCCGTTTTTGTTCAGTGGGTAGTGTCAGCCTAAAAACCATTAGGGTTCCAGGTTCGATTCTGGTCAAGGTCACATACCTTGACTACAGGCTCCTTCCTTGGGCCCCAGACATGGTAAGATGCTTGAGAGAGGCAACCAATTAGTGTGTTTTTCTCCCACTGATATTTCTCTGCCTTTCCCTCTCTCTAAAAATCAATGGAAAAATTATCCTTGGGCAAGGATTTTAAATAAATAAATAAATAAATAAGAGCTATCAATACTTTGAACTGCACCTTTTAAAAACAAGAATAGCAAAATGAGTTCAATTTGGTTCACCCATTGTGCAATACATAGAATATCCACTCGTCCATTGTAAATATTTTACTCTTAGTAACCCTAACCTGTTTGGGTCAGTGAACAGAGCACCAGCAGGTGGACTGAAGGGTCCCCAGGTTTGATTTCAGGTCAAGAGCACATGCCCAGGTTGCCGGCTCGATACCCAAAAGGGGTGCCGGAAGCAGCTGATCAATGATTCTCTCTCATCATTGATGTTTCTCTCTCCTCTCTCCCTTTCTTTCTGAAATCAGGGAAAATAAATATTTTTTAAAGTGTAAACTAAGTAAATTCCTTTATCAAAACTATGTAAACTATGAAGGCTCTTTCCCTGTGCCTTTGATTACAGGCATTTGTCCATCTAAGTTACCTACACCACTCATCAGAAAGAGAGTCTCTGAAATAGAGGCTGAGGGTAGGCTTT